CTGAGTGAGATGCAGTCCCCTCCCTGAGACTGACTGCTGGGCTGCAGACTCATGGACACACAGCTCTCGATCCACATCCCCAAAGTCAGGCTGCTCAGGGGCTCAACCTTGGATCTACCCTGGAATTGCTTAGGAGCTTAAGAAATGCTGATTTTTCCTCGCCAGAGACTCTGATCTAATTAGCCTGGTGTGAGGCCCAAGGCATCTAGGAGCATTGGCTAAATTAAAAGCTCCCTAGGTGATTTGAATGTGCAGCTAGGGCTGAGATCTACTAAGCTGATCAGTTGCTCAGGAGAGCACCCCAGAGCCTGGGGGCTCCAGCCACAGCTCCAGGCACAATGACCCCCCTCCCCATCCAGTTGCCTTTGATGCATCAGGAGGAAGGAGTTGGGGCCAAGACTCTGGCTGGCACAGAATAACTTAAGATAGCAGCTGGGGTCTCATTCATTCATCATCCAATCATGTATTCAATAACTATTTAATATACGTATTGTGAAGGCAACAAGAGAAACGGACCAAGGGCTCCAGTTTAGACTGGGGAGTCAGGCCTCTTTGAGGAGGTGATATTTAAATCACCTGAGTGGCAAGAAGGGGCCTGCCCTGTGAACCACCATGCCAAGCAGGGAGTGCGGAAGTGCAGAGGCCCTGCACAGGGAGCAAAGCGGGTATGCAGCTGGAGCACAGCTGGTGGAGAAGAGAGCAGTGAGCCGAAGTCTGGGAGGTGGGCAGAGTGTATCGTAGGGGGTCTTGGAGCTGTGGTTAGGAGGTGGTTTTCATTCTCAGTGCAATGGGAAGTCCCTGGAAGCTTTTCAGGAGGGAATGACAAAACCTGGTTTGTGTTTTTAAAAGACATTCTGGCCGCTGTGGGGAGGATGGCTGGTGGGGAGCAGGATGGACACAGGTGAACTGTCCAGTCCTTCAGGGTAGAAGGCACCCCTGTGCTGAGACCCCAGGGGGAAGGTCAAGGACCCAGTTCTTCCTCACAGTGGGGAATGTAGGTCAGGCAGCTCCCTCAGCCAAGCTGCCAGTGCAGCCCCCTCGCCTGTCAGGGGGAGAAAAGCTGTCTGAGATGTGTGGGCTCAGCTGAGAGATCAGCATTGGCAGTGAAGGCAGAGATAACAGTCGACCAGGTGCAAGGATCTGGGCCACCGACTAAGGTCTCTTCATCCTCCTTCCCAGGGTGCCTCTCCCTGCACCCCTGTACCCCCTCACCATCTTCCCAGCAGGCTGGGCCAGCCCAGAGGCAGGCCTCAATCTGTGCCTGGAGCAGGTGGCTGTATTTTAAGATCAGGGCTCAAACCTCTAAATAAACCATAAATAAAGCCAGCTTCCCCAGTATAGAAGGAGGGAGACAGCTCCATTTCTTTTCAGCACAGTGGCTGGGAAATAAACAAGTGGCTCTGCCTGTCACATACACTTACCCTCTGCAAAGGCATCTGTCAGACCCACAGAGCTTCTGCCTCAGCCTTTCCAAGAAATAACTGATGTGCCCCACATTGGGCTTCTCCCTGCAGGTTCCAAGTTCACTTTGCCATTCAAGGAAAGGTGAGCATGGGGCTTGCCCCTGACCCCAGCCTTACAGGAAGAGCTATCAAAGGGCAGGCTTAGACACAGGGCCCCAGTGTAGCTGGAAGCATGTTGGCACAGCTCTCTCAGCTGGGGAAGGGGACAAGAGGAAAGGAGAGAGGGAGGAAGGTAGGAGGTCAGGCGGTTGGCAGGAGCAGGGGCAGAGCTGAGAGGGGCAAGGAGTGGTCTCTGTTAGAGAGATGGGAGGATGAGAGCCTCAGGGGCCCAGGCAGAGACTGGTGTGCAGGTAGGGTGGCCGTGGGTGTGGGAGAAACAAAGAAACAGAAGGCAGAGGGCTCTCTCTCCATGGGTGAAATCTCCCACGACCACAGAGGATGAAGGAGCAAGAACAACAGACAGGAACAGAAGGAAGCGGGCAGATACATGAAGCAGGGGAGGGAGGAAAGCCCCGGAGGAATCAAACTCAAGTATGTGTAGAAGGAAGGACCCTCAAAATGCAGCAGGAAAAGGTGATGTATGCATTGAGCTAAACCAGAAGAGCCAGGAGCTAAGGCCAAGGGAACGGGAGCGGCTGGGAATGGTGACATGTGGCACACACAGATATGTGGCGGTGAAGCAGAAGGGGGCTGTGAGCTCTGGAGGGGCCAGAAGGCAGGCAGCTCATAGTGAAAGGACAGGGGTAAGAGCTAGAGAGAGCCACAGGGCCCATGAAGACTGTGCCCCAGGTGCTGCTGCTCAGGCCCCTGCAGCAGGGACACCTTGCAGCCACCATCACCCCCAAGTTGTGGGAGAAGGGATTGGAAAAGGTTGAAAGAGGCAGTGACACAGGGATTACACATGCATTGAAGCATACACCCCCTCAGCAAGGGCAGCACTCTCTCCACAGCACCCCCATGGGGATGAAGGAGATCCAGGGGCTCCCAGACTGCAGCCAGATGCGCGGGAGCCACAGACCTCCAATGATGGACACAGCAGACCTAGATGAGGTTGCTCTCCACAACACAGACCCTGAGAGAAAGGGAGATGAAGACAAGGACAACCAAGATCAGATTTTTCTCCCTCTCCCTCTCTCTCACACACACACATACACTCTCACACACGCAAACACACTGGGAAATAAAGGGTGGCTTGTATGTGTTTGGGGGTAGGGCAGACGGGAGGACTGGTTTCCTCTTTTAGGGACCTGAAGAAAAGTTTCCCAAAGCCCGGGGAAAGGTCAAACACAAGAAAGAGGAAGTGTGTGTGGCCCTCACTACCCTACTTTCCCTCCCATGTGGCTGCCTCAGCCTACACACACATTTGCAGAGGCCTGCAGGGGCATGGGTGTGAAACCCTCTCAGCAGGCAACACACTGCATTCACACCCACACACATGTCCAGAAGCCAGTGGCTGGCACAGGGATGGGTCAGACTCGGATGCAGGAGCTCCCATACGAAGCCAGATTAAGGGTCCTCTCCAGGTCCACCAAGGAGGTCCCAAGTCCTCCAGGGCTACACAGAGCACCTCTCCAGCTGGGACGGCATTGCCAGAATTGCCTAAAGAAAGAATGTGCTTCCCACTGTGGCTGTGGTGTTTGCACCATGAGTCCAGAGCCACCTTGCAAGGGCATTCCCAGGACTTCTGACGGAGACATGTAGACGCTAGCTCCCTGCTAAGCTCGCACACCCACGGTGCCCCAGTTTTGCAAGTGGACACCACAGAGAAAGACCAAAGGGAGGGGGCTGCCCAGGGACTGGGTCCATTTCTCAGCTCAGCCCAGTAGGCAGGGCCTTAAGGACAATCCTAGGAGACCAAGAGCTCAGATGTGGGCCACGAGTCTTCTTGGGAATGGGGACGCAGATCCTGAGCACATCTACCAGTCCCCACTCCAGCTCGAACCTCCCAGTCCCCACTGTTGGCACGCACATCGGTCTCAACGTATTCCACACACATAAGTCCGTCACAGTCCCAAGAATACTACACTGTACACAGCACACTGTACACACAGCACACGGTTCCCCATGCCACACACTGAGCTGACACACGTCCCAGGGCTCCCCTGTGCCGACGCATCTTCCCATCCGACAGAGGACCCATTTTAATGAATGCGGTACACACAGTGAAAAGTCCTGTTGTCCTCAGCCTATACACACACACAGCGCCCTGCAGTCCCGCACAGCCCGCATACCACACCGGCCTGGACACAAACGGTGCCCACACAGAGCTCCCGACCAGAACTCAGCGACTCCCGCCCCCGCTGTGCGGCCTGCGCTACCGTCCCCCGCGTACTAAGCCGAGCTCCACCTCAGACTTCCCGGCCCCCTGTTTTCTCCTCCAGCTCCTTTTCCCCAACAACCCCACCCCCGGGCTTCGGGAAACTTTTCTTCAGGTCCCTAAAAGGGGAAACCTGGAGTTCCTCCGGTCCCGCCCTGTCCCCGGACACGCGCAAGCCGCCCTTTATTTCCCAGCCGGTCTCCCGCCAGACCCAGCGGGGAAAGGTCACCGTAGGCAGCCCCCTGCCTGCGCCCTGGGGGTGGTGATAATAACAGCTGTCACCGGGGGATGGGCGGGGGGGAGGGAG